GAAACAACATAGGGAAAATGAAGTCCAGGAATGGAGCTTTATATATCATTGTTTAAATTGTACCTGTATTTAGTTCTGTAAGTGAGCCCGGAATTCTCTTTTTGCTTAAGCCAGTTTGAGTTGGGTTTTCTGTTACTTACAGTTGAAAGAGTCATAGCCAATACACAATATGCCAAGTGGGGATCAGTTAGGAGAGAATGGAATAAAACCACTGTTTCTTTGATTATACAATCAAATTCTGTTATTTTGACACTGTATTATAAATCTGGTCATAACAATTCTTGCTTAAAATCCTCTCATTGGCTTCCCATTGCTCTTAGGTTAAGGAAAAAAAAATTCCTAGCGTGATCTGTGTACTATTTTGTTTGACTTCTGTCTTACCTCCTATCATATACCTCCTTGCTTTTCTTTTTCACTCATACTAGTGTGTAGTTGAAATGTGCCCTTTTCAAGAATAAGTTTGATTTTTAACAGTAACCTGTTAACTGGACTGATTTTTTAAAAAGATAGGTACTTAGTTTTCTACCAATAAAGCATTTTATTTTATTTTTCAAGAAATATTTTATTTATTCATGAGAGAGAGACGAGAGAGGAGGGGAGAGAGAGAGAGAGAGAGAGAGAGAGAGAGAGAGAGAGAGACAAAGACAAACTGGCAGAGGGAGAAGCAGGCTCTCTGCTGGGAGCCTGATGTGGGACTGGATCCCGGGTCTCCAGGATCACGCCCTGGGCTGAAGGCGGCGCTAAACCGCTGAGCCATCTGGGCTGCCCAAGCTTTTTAAAGAATAAGAGGCATAAAAGTGGAAAGTACTGCTTTGAAAATTTGTTTCATCTGCTTATTGTTTGTAAATAAATTTAATAAGTTAATTTCTTCATAAAATTTCATAAACACCTGAATTTTATGAAATCAAATTTTAGTTGTGTGTCTTTTTCAATTATATAGAGTTTATTGCTTATGCTTTAATGTTTATATTTGTGTGATTTATATGCCAAGGTACACATCATCATTCTCTGTTTTGCTAACCCTGTTACAATTAATTTCCATGATGCAATCAATAGGTGATGCATATTAAGGTGATTTAAAAGTGGAATTTTTAAAATGACTCTCTGTCCTAAAAAGATTATGTATGTTTTTAAGATAACATTAAAATTTTCTAGTATCACCTTGAGATAGTTGGAAATTCTTGAGAGATCACAGAACCAGGGTTGGAAATATTAGATTGTAACTCATAGTTAAAAACCTACTCTGAATCCTTAAAGCTCTATTCTTTCAGGATTAGAATTCTAAAATTATAGACCTCCATTTCAGTATGCCATTAGTCACAAAGACTGAAGAATTGTTTATACAACGAAATAGAGCATAAACTGAAGCTTTAAGTCAGTGGGAATGATTTGAATACCTGGTTTTTTTGTGGAATTTGTGAGAGGAAAAAAATGACAGATTAAACTTTTCTGAAAAATGTTCTAGTGACCCTATGTCATCCAAATCACTCCACTGAAAAACTCTTCTCAGTAAAATTGTTCAAGGCTTAGTGTTTCTTACAGCTAGCTTGTTAATCTTTTGCAAAATTTATGAGTTAGTTGAGCATTATTTGTATGTGCTATCTTTATTTTGAATAAAAATTCTCACTATTTAAATGATTATATTAATTTTGGTTTTATATTTTCCCTTTTATAAAACCAAATAATTTCTAAATGCTCAGCTAAGAGCTTGTAAATTCTAGTATAATAACAAAATTGTGATTTGCTCTTAGAGTTCTTGAAAATGATAGGAAGAACAGAGTTAAAAATTAAGATTGATTGGATGATTTCTGTTAGGTACCGAGCTATGTGCTTTTTGTTTATTATGTGACATAATCTTCACTATAACTTTATGAAATAAGTTACATATAGTAAAGCAAGGCACAGAGATTAACTTGCCCAACATCATACAGATAATAAATGATTGAGTCAGAATTTGAATGTGGCATTCAGTATTCACCATGTTTTATTATTTATTGTTAATAAAATAAAGTACACAGTATAGAGCTAAATTAAGCTATAGAGATTATTAGTTGAACTAAGAACTGAGACCCAGAATTGTAAAGTGATTTGATTGAAACTGTAACAGTGCTGCGGCTATGACTTGGTTCTTTTGGCTCCTAGCCTAATGCTCTTTTTTTATGTGCAGACTCTACAGTTGGGATTTGTGGAATTGCTTAATCTTTTATTGGAAAGTAAATAGACCCATATCTAGTACATAGCACACCTGTGCTACCCTGTGTGCTTTATATACCAGATCAAATGCATTACCTTTATTTAACACAGTGATATTATATCAGGTGGTACCTATTAATGGATAAGAGTAAATTTTTCAAATTAAAAATTTAGACCTACTTTTCCATTGATTTTTAAAATGTTTGTAGAAAAAATTAAGATACAGTTTTGTGTATATAAGCTGATACAAAAAATAGTAAAATAGGAATTAAAATTATTTGTATGAGCTGTCTCCAACAGTTAATGAATTATTTTCTAAAAAGTCTTTGATAAGTCAATTAATTGGAATTCATTTTTTTCTTCATAGAAACAGGTATATTAAATGTGGTTATGAAATGAGTCAGTAGCTGTAATTGAGTGTTCTCTTTTTCTGGCTGTTTTGGGGCTAAGTCTGAGCCATAGAAGCTATTAGAGATGTTTTGGAACTTTGAGATTCCCCGCTGCTTATCTTTGCTGGATATTCCACTTCAGTGGCCGCTGATTTAATCCTTCATAGAATTCCATGCCTTACCACCAAAATTCTGAAGTGGTGACCTGAGAGGTTTATATGGTGGTAGTTTTGGCATGCTTGCCAAAGGAATCCATGAAAGTGTTTGTTTATTAATCAGAACAAAATATTGTAGTGATTCTTTAGTCCAGTGTTGCCCAGTAGGAATGTTCTGTAGCCGTACTAATACAGTAGCCACCAGCCACATGTGGCTTTGAGCATTTGAAATGTGGCTAGTAAAACTGATGAGCTGAATTTTAAATTTTATTTAATTCTAATTAGTTTAAACTTAAATAGTCACGTGTGACTAGTGGCTACTGTTATATTACACAGTACAGCTTTAGGCTGAGATTTTGGTTCTGTTTACATCTGAGGATTTCCATCTTTATCATGTGTTTGAGACGCTATCAGTTAGGGTTTTTAAGTAGGCTACTATGGTCCTTAAGCTTTTGAAAGTAGGTTATCTTAAAGTCATCTCTATCATAATGGGCAATAGATGTCTGTTCATATAGACAAGTCATTCATTAATTGAATATTTGTAAATTGAATACTAATTTCAGAGTTTTGGCGAGATATATGATCACTTAGCAAAAAATATATGTATGTCAACTATGTAATATTCAGTGTAACCATTATTATAACCCAATATAACTACTAACAAAAAATATATGAGTCTCATAAGCTGTGTAATTGTGCCTCTTAAAAAAATATTGTCAACTCGGTAGCACTAGGTCCTTAACAGGAGCAAAAATTGCCACATATTTATTTCCTTGATATATTCATAACACTGATATTAGTTTAGAGATAAACTACAACTATTCAAATAATTAAGTTAATGGGATTTAAATAGACTTCAGAACTTGGTGAATTCAGTTAAACACAAGACTCATTAGAGTCTCAGGGCACCTGGGTGGCTCTGTTGGTTAAGTGCCCCAACTTTTGATTTTGGTTCAGGTCATGATCTTGGGATCTTGGGGTCGAGCCTCGTGTGAGGCTCTGTGCTCAGCAGGGGAGTCAGCTTGAGGATTCTTTCTGCCCCTCTCTCCCTCTGCCTCCCTTCCACTCATATTCTCTGTCTCAATCAATCAGTCTTTTTTTAAAAAAAGATTCATTAGAGTCTTGTGATAGTAGCTAAAACATTTACAAGAGTAACTTCTGAGGTTAATAGTTATTTTTCCCTGTGGATTAATGTATCCAAATAAATTGGGAAACTAAAACTCAGGAAAATTGGCTGAGGATAAGAGAAATATAAAGATTGAATGAGTGTGCATTGTAATATTTTATGGTTTCTACTATCTAGTTTTTATCTTTTTTTGCTTTATAACTAAAACTTACTTTAAAAATTTATAAATTTTGTAAAATTTATGCTGTTACATATGTGGGAATCCAGAATAATTCTTGTTTTAAATAAATGAATTAAAATTTCTTTTTGATAATTTTTATTCTACTAGCAGTTTTTCAATCCCAAAAAATATAGATCTATTAGATTATAAATTTCTGAAGGCAAGGACTGTGACTGATTCATCTTTTTTTTTTTTTCCCCTAGAACTTAGCATGTTATCTGAATAGTTATATTTTTTAGGCTTATTTATTTCTTTAATAATCTATACCCAGCCTGGGGCTCAAACCCACAACCCTGAGAACAAGAGTCGTATGCTCTTCTGACGAAACCAACCAAGCACCCCAATGAGTAGTTATTTTTGAATGAATTATTCTGTGATGAAATATGTCCAATTCATTTTCTTTCCCTTTTAATATCTTTGATTAAAAAACAAAAATATAAACTCAAATTTATTCAAAGTTATATTTTCTTTTTTTTTGAGTAATACACAATCATATTCTATGAAAAGACTCGGAAGTGGTTGTTGGGCTCAAAGTTATATTTTCTTGTGGAAATAGTTACATTTATATCTGAAATGTGAATAGATTACAGTTAAAGATTAGTATCACTTGTATTTGAAAATTCACTTACTAAAACAATACATCATGAAGTGATTACTCATTTTTACAAAAGGATACTTCAAAAAATTATTTATAAGTTAATAATTCAGACTTCTTCCAAGTAGTGAGTGCTTATTAGAGTCAACATTTTATTTACTAAATTTGGGTTCATTCAAGAATGAAAAAGTTATATAAAGTGAGTTGCAAATCTGTCAGACATATCAAACTTAAAAATTGAGCTTTTCATAGGAAAAAAATTCAAATATGTACATTTAATTTAATGAGATCCATTCTAATACTAGGTATCTTTATTTTATAGGAAGGAAACCTGAGATATAAATTGCTTTCTTGTCTGGAGTCACATGGTGAGTTTCGAGATCAAAATTAGATCCAAGAATTTCTGAACCCCAAGTTTCATGTTTCAATATTTGGCTTTACTTAACGTGACTCATAAAATTGACTGATATCATGTGTCAGTACTTAGGTGACAATTTACAGAAAGTCAACTCTGCAACTTGATGGGCGACAACCCTTTTCAGCCAAAAAGTAAGTGTTGCTGCCACAACTGATACTAGTATACATATGTGGCTTTTGTACTGATAAATTTGCTTCAGTAGAGAGGAGAGGTAGGCACATTTTCTAAAAGACAAAAAAAAACCTTAAAGTTATTAGAGTAACAAATGCTCACATAAGAAACAATGTAAATTAAAAACTGAGTAAAGTACGAATGAAGTGTTTTTTCTTCTTATGCCCAGTGATTTGTATTAATTTGCTATACACAATTACCTATGTTTCTTTTATGCATAGACAAAAAAATAATTATTTCTAAAAAGCATAAAACTGTTATGTATCTTTAAAGTTTTTTTTTTTTTTTCTCAACAGTATATCCTGGATGTATTGATAGTGTCAGGGTCCTAAGAAGGATGAGAAAGACCTTTGTATTGTTTGCTAGGCTTCTATAAAGGAGTACCATAGACTGGATGGCTTAAATAACAGAAATTTATTTCAGAATTTCTCACAGTTTTGGGGACTAGAAGTATAAGATGAAAATGTTGGCAGGGTTGATTCCTTTTGAGGGCCATGGAGGAAGGATCTGTACCAGGCCTCTCTTTGGCTTATAGATGGCCATATGCTTCCTATATCTTTAGATGGTCTTACCTCCAAGCATGTATCCGTGTCCTGAACTTACCTTTTACTGAATTAGCGCTTACCCTAGTAACTTCATTTTAACCTTATCACCTCTTTAAAGACCCTGTCTCCAAATAAAGTAATATTGTGAGGTAGTGATGGTGAGGACTTTAACATATAAATATTGGAAAAACGTAGTTCAGTCCATAACAAACTAATTGGAAACTTTTATTATCCATATACCATGAGTTCCCCTGATTTTTAAAAATTAGACATTGCCTGACCACTTAGTTTCCTAGTCCATAAATTGTTATATACTATGTGCCTACTGCCTATCTAGTGTTTAGAAGGAAATATACTTCAAAGAACTGTTTGGTTTTGGGACATGTAATAATATTTTTAATCATTTGGCTTGGAGAATTCTGTATGATTAATAAAATAATATAGTTTAGAAAAGAGTTCATGATGTTCATGACATTTGGGAAAATGGGAAGCCCCTTTTTTTGGTAGATGGACTATTAATATTTAAATAATGTTAAGATAGAAAATAATTTGTGACATAGTTTTATATAAAGGAAAAAATTTAAAAATTTATAAAAGAATAGCTCTTAATTTGATATGGTATTTCCTTTGTATGCCATCTCCAAAGCATTGGTTCAGTTAGTATCTTTTACAAACTGGTAGAACATTGTCCTAATTTTTAGTTAAAAGTAGAAGTGCTATTATTTTAATATGATAAAAACTTACCCTTAGAAATGACTATATTTAAATGATAAATGAAAGATGATATCAAAGCTTGAACGCTGGAGGGTTTTTTTGTTTTAAATAGACCACTCCCCCATCTCATTCTGTATACCTAGTTATATCCACTTATATCCATCTCTGCTGTTACTACGTTAGTTTAGGCCTTCAGTACTGTTTCTCTTCTTCCCCTCTTCCTTTCCACCTTTCTTCTTTCCATTTTAACTTAAAGCAATATATGCACATAGTTTAAAAAGTCAATCTGTAAAAGCTTTAATGGCTTAACGATAGTTTCTCAAAGAGTGCTTATGTGCATATATGCATTTATGTTGTGCTGTCTGTTGCATAATCAGGTTTAACCATTTTCTAATAATGTTCTATCATGAGGGTTTTTGCTTTCTTAGAGCTACCCCTTCCTTCCCTCCAACTATCTTCCAATATAATATCTCAATATTTGATTTAATCCATAGTCAATGTATTCATTATGACTATAATAAATGCTCTTCACTGATGAGCATGGTAATATGCTATTATACATATAATACACATATTTACCCTTCTCTCCCATCCTCTCTGCTTCCCTTTCTTTCTTTTTTCTCATTTATCCAGCAATTAATGCTTTTTATGTTTTTTTCATTTTCTGTGTTGTATTAAAATCTGTAGGCACGTCTTCCCACACGTGCCTCTCAATTCAGTTTTCTACACAGTAAAACTTTTCAGGTAATCTAAAACAACATTTTAGTCATCTTCTCTTTGGTGTCCTAGAGACATTTCCTCCTGAAATACTGTTCTAATCTAGTTTGGACTAGTTGTTTTCTGGTCTGCTGAACAACTATTGTCCTGGGACTTTGTATTGTATTGAATACTGTATTTTCTATATTCCTGTGTCTTCTTTCTTAGTTAAGTCTCATATATTTTTATGGATTCTGTAGTAAATTCCTGAGAAAAGTTACGTGGGAAGTAAATCTTGTATGATGTTGCTATTCTTTATTCTCACAGTTGATGAAAGTTTGGGTAAAGAATTCTTTATTAAGAAATAATTTTGGTAAAAAATTATTTAAGTATTATTTACTGTCTTCTGCTAAAGTATTATTCTATACTTCTTATTATTCTTGACCTTTTGTATATGAATGATTCTTCCCACTTCACCCCAAAAACCCCCACCCCATACATCTGAGATATTCTCTTTATCTCTTTTGTTCTGAAATTTCATGATGATGTGTCTCAATGTCACCTTTTTCTTTTAAATTTTTTTTTTATTTTTTTTATTTATGATAGTCACAGAGAGAGAGAGAGAGAGAGGCAGAGACACAGGCAGAGGGAGAAGCAGGCTCCATGCACCGGGAGCCCGATGTGGGATTCGATCCCGGGTCTCCAGGATCGCGCCCTGGGCCAAAGACAGGCGCCAAACCGCTGTGCCACCCAGGGATCCCTGTCACCTTTTTCTTGATCTCATTGTGCTATGTACCGAGTAAGGCCTTACAACCTAGAGATCTGTTTTTCAATCTAGGAAGTTTTCTTGTATTATTTCTTTGATAACCTACTCTCTGATTTTTTTTTTTTATTCTCTTTCTGTAAATTTTATTAGGTGAATGTTTTACTTTGAAATTGATTTTCTGGCAACCTTGTGTCCTCTTCTCTATTTAGTTTATACCTGTGTTTGTGTGTGTGTGTTTTTCTCTTTTTCTCTTAGTTCCACCTCTGGGGATATTTTGATTTTTTTAAAAAACCAAATTAAAAAATTTTGGCTATCATATTGTTATATTTTTTGTTTTCTGAATATTTTATAACATTCTTATCTAATATCTCTAAAGATACTAATTATATTTTCTTTAATTTTTTTTTACTCTCTGCATTATCTCTTTTTCATAGGATTCTTTATCTTTTTTATTGATTTGGCCTAAAATGAGGTTTTCCTGAAATTTTTGGTACTTGTTCATTAATATTTACATTCTTCCTAGGAGCTCTGTGCTTGGTCAGAACTTCTAGGTGGTGTATGTTCATATTTACTGCATGTTCTTTGATCTGTTTCTTTAGATAAGAAATGTCTAATTTGCCCTGGCTGGAAAAAATCTCACTTTATTCCCTTATTTTAGTCTAGCACCTCATCCTTGCTTTGTGCCTGTAATTACTGAATTTGATTCAGTTTTTTAAATATATCTCCTATGAGCTGCCTCTTATTCTTAGTTTATCGCCCCTTTATTAATACTCTTTCCCCCAGGTGTAATCCTTTTTGTAATAAAATTATATTCTAGGCATATGACTGGAACTCATTTTGACTGTTCCGTGTAAATAAACCTGTCAACCATTATCTTCTTATCTAAATGTATTAGTTTATATCTTAGAAAGTGAGCTCTAAGTTTCTCACTGTTGCTGCCATGCACTAACTAAAATATCAAATCACAAATTGCTATTAGGGCTATTAAAGTAGATCTTAAATATACTGTAAATTTTTTAATGTATTTATTTTTCTTTTGGAAAATAAGGTTTGCTTCTCTTCTTTTGAAAATTAGATAATTCAAAAATGGCAGAACTCTTTATGGAATGTGAAGAAGAAGAGTTAGAACCATGGCAGAAGAAAGTAAAAGAGGTTGAAGATGATGATGATGATGAGCCAATCTTTGTTGGAGAGATATCAAGTTCAAAACCAGCAATTTCAAGTAAGCACTTACTATTAGTGGAGCCAGTTTTTATAAAATATTGTTTCTAATGGAAAAACTTGTGAACTGCCTTATAAGGTGCTTTATATCCTTGTTCCTCTGTAAGAAGTTAGAGATGAAAGATTTGGTGAGAGGTAAGAATTGAAGAATCAGGGTGAGGACATGATTGGGATCTTGAGGAGGGCGCCAAGAGGTTAAAATATTAGATAATGAGGAAAAGAAATAGACTAAGATTAGTTGGTATCATTGGAGGTCTCTAAAATTGGAAATCATAATTTTTAGTGGAGCCAAAAGTAATGTTTATCTGTTTATTTTTTTCCTACTTAAACCTAGAACTAGAGAAGTGGAAGAGGTTAGAATACTTTCCTTCAAATGTCACAATATACTAAATAAGTTTTAGTCTCAGATAGACTCCTATCTGAGACACATCCAGGCAACTGCAGTGTCATCCATACACTGCTACAAAATGTATATGCAGGGAATAATTGTAGTCTCTAGCCTGAGTGCCAACAAGGACTGCAGCTTCTGACCACATTCATCTTCCACCAACTCACATTTTTATTCATGAAAGAGAAGATCACTGTCTACAGCCACTGTACTTGGAAGATGTAGCAGTTAGTTAATACTTAAATCGTTTATGGCTTTCTAGCAGAATATTTTGGTACTTTTGCGGATTATTAGATTTTAGTTAGAGTAGTTGGATTTGATGTTATTAGAATGTTAAAAGCAAAGACCAAAGACACTTTCTAAATTGTCCACACAAGAACATAAAAAAGTACAGAGAAATAACACATTTTAGGAGAGAAAGAGAAAATAGATCATTTCCCAGTGCATGTACATGTTTATTTGTTTGTTTGTTTAAGCCAGGTGAGTTTGCCAAAGAATATGACCAGTGTAATAGTTTTCTTGCCAAGGCAGTGCTTAAAAGTGTGAATAAGAGACTACTATTAAATTTTCTAAAGCCTGGTTTTTTGTTCTCTTGCTTCTACACTTGGAATGGCACCTCTATTCAGTTTTATCAGAGGGAGAATCAGTTAACCAATTAAATTCTCAATACCATTTCCTGTGGCAGATTGATAATCTTTTAGGTTCTAAGTGGAATACCACTTCGATTATAAATTGAACTAGGCATGATGGTATGCTTGTTTTTTTTTAATTAATTAATTTAATTAAATTTTTAATCGGAGTTTAATTTGCCAACATCACCCCCCCCAAGTGCCCCCCTCAGTGCCCGTCACCCAGTCACCCCAACCCCCCGCCCACCTCCCTTTGATGGCATGCTTGTTGATGATAGTGGAACATAATTATATGTTCTCTTAATTACTATTTCTATTCATTGTGATCATTTTATACTGAAATATTACCATATTATAAAATAGTTATTCAAATTCTCTTATTGAAAAAAGTAACAAAGATCAAATTGAATTATACCAATTGTAGAAGACTGTTAACAGTATTCAACTAGAACAATGTATATTAGTTTTAAGATAATTCTGTCAAAAAGGAGACTGACCCCAGTAAAAATTTGTTTCTGGACTGTTAAGATGCAGAGTTTAAGTGAATTTATTGTTTATGTGCAAGCCATAAAATATTGTAATATATGGAATATGAGTTAAGAGTTTGTATAGAACTGCTAGAAAGGAGGGCAAAACCTGTGTTTGGTAGAATACAGCCACTAAGAAGTATTTTAGCCAATAGTTCTTTGATGGTTTGAGTAATACTTAATCTTGAATTTCTGAATGAAAATGGTGTCAAGTTGTTTGAGCAGGCTTTTATTCTTTAAGACATAGATTGTGCTTAGGTGTAGAGCACTGCATTGCCATTGTCAGAAAACAATCCTATTTATTTATTTATTATTTATTTATTTATTTATTTATTTATTATTTATTTATTATTTATTTATTTATTATAGTCACAGAGAGAGAGAGAGAGAGAGGCAGAGACACAGGCAGAGGGAGAAGCAGGCTCCGTGCACCTGGAGCCCAACGTGGGATTCGATCCCAGGTCTCCAGGATCGCGCCCTGGGCCAAAGGCAGGCGCTAAACCGCTGCGCCACCCAGGGATCCCTCAGAAAACAATCCTACTTTTGTGTGGCCCTTTTTTGTAGAGTTATTTTATGGGATCTGGTTCTTTTTTTACTGTGAGGAAAAGGCAATTTTTATGAGGTTTGGTACTTGTTTGTGCTTTTACCTTTTGTAGCCAGCAATTTTTGGCAAATCTCCACTCTTCCCAATTTTAGTTTGACTACCAAATAATCTAGGAGTTACAGAGTTTACATGCATGGCAGAATCAGGACCCAAAAGTTCTATTAGACTCAGATTGACTTCTGGTATACTTGTAGATTTGAGTCCTCTTAAGTTATGAAATACTCTGATAAACAATATTTTAGTTTGCAATCTCTGCTAGTTTTTCCCTTTTTAGAACTCAAGATTAATGCTGCAGATAATCCAGTGAGATCCCTCATAATGATACTTTCAAGGAAGGTATGAATGGGATATGAAGGTAGAATAGGGGCTTGATTTTGAGTGATAGGAACTTGAGTTTATGTATAGCTCTGTCAACACTCAAAGAAAGAAAAAAAACACTCAAAGAAAGATATATACACTAATTATAGGTTGTATATACATACATTTTTGGAAGATTTTTGCTAATTATGTAGACTGTTTCTTTGCCATTAAACTTTGTAGAAAGTTAGACTTCTCTGTAATCAGATTTATCATTCTTTTACTTCTGGCCTTTGGATTTTGAGTTACAGTTAGAAAGGTGGTTCTTATCCTATAAAACAAGGCTAGGAATCTTATTTCTTTAGTAGATGATGATATATATGTTTCAGATTAACTGTATACTTAGGTTAACAATAACATATATACTCCTTCCAGGAATCTATTTGATTGTTTTCAGTTCATGATTTCTATTATCTTAGCATATATTTTATTCAAGTAATAAATTTTAAAATAAATATAATTTTTTGTAGATATTTTGAATAGAGTAAACCCCAGCTCATATTCAAGGGGAATAAAGAATGGTGCACTTAGTCGAGGTACAGTATTATTTTATTTTACTATTTTATTTTGAAAGTGAAGCATTTTGATATCATTGATTATATAAAAATATATTTAATGTTTTGTATAATTTTCAATACAGGTATTACTGCTGCATTCAAGCCTACAAGTCAACACTACACGAACCCAACATCAAATCCAGTGGCTGCCTCACCAGTAAATTTTCATCCTGAATCTAGATCTTCAGATAGTTCTGTTATTGTTCAGCCTTTGTCTAAACCTGTAAGTGTTTCTGAAATTACACAGCTCAGCGATACATTGGATATTCCTTAATAGTTTAAACAATGCCAATTAAAATGCTGGATTGTCATGGGTAGTTATCCAATAGAAACATAATTAGAATCAAAAAATGTCACCATCTTTATGGTAGCTTAGCCAGTACCCAGAGTAATAACTGCAGGAACTACCCATCCCGCGTGTTCCTAAATCAGGTAACATGCTTAAATAGGTAAAGTATAGAAAATTGTGTTATCAAAACATGAATAAAAGTATAATGATTATTGCATAATGGCAAACTATTTAAGATTGTAAACTGGGTCAATTATTCTTGGCTCTTAACTGGAAAAACTTTTGAGAGGAAGTTATTCAGAAAATATGTCTTCATAATTTAGTTTAAAAAACTCTTGACAAAAAGTAATAGTTAATGGTAACAGTTAATATTTATTGAGTTGATATTTTTGTGTAAGACTTTGTTCTAAATGCTATACATAAATTAGTCATTTAATTCTTAAATGTCCCTGTGAAATATACACTATTATTATTATTCCTGTTTTATAGTTGAGGAAATTGAGGCTCACAGAGGTTAAATTATTCATTCAAAGTCACACGGCTGACAAAATGATAGATCTGGGATTTAAATCCAGAGTAACCCATAATTTATATGTATTTATATACATATATATATGTGTGTGTGTGTATAAATATTACTTAAAATGGAACCATTGCCTTAGTGCAGCAGTTTTCAGTGTGTAGTGTTCAGTCTCCTCGGGTTCCCCTGAGACTCTTTCATGGGTTTGGAAGTCAATACTATTGTCATAATAATACAAAGACACTATTTGCCTTTTCTACCATGTTGACATAGGTGTTGATGATGCAGAAGTTCTGGTGGGTAAACTGCTAGTGCCTTAGTATAGATCAAAACAAAGCACCAAAAAAAAAAAAAAAAAAAAAAACCAACAAAAAAACAATGCACCAAGCTGTATGAGCAGCTTTTGTATTCATACCCACCATGCACTCCCAATAAAATATATTCACACTTGTTTTTTTTAGTGAAGTATTAGCATTGTTATTAATTTTGTTAAATCTCTACCTTTGGAATATGTATCTTTTAAAAATATTTTATATGATGAAATGGATAGTATGCAAAAGCACTTCTGTGTCAGAAATTTAATGGTTATCTTGAGGAGAAGCACTTGTTTGATTGAATTGTGAGCTAAAGTACCCACTTTTTAAAAATAGAAGACTACTTTTACTTGAAAGAATGACTCAAACAATGGTGAATTATTTATTTTTGTGTATCAATATTACCAGAAACAATGGTTTAAAATTACACACATTTATTATCTCATAGTTTCTGTAAGTCAGGAGTCAGGTCATGGCTTAGCTGGATCCTCTGCTTCAGGGTTTCACAAGGCTACATTCAAGATGTGGACTCTAAGGTTGCAGTCTCATCTGAAGCTTGACTGGAGAAGTATCTGCTTCCAAGTTCTCATGGTAATTGGCAACATTCAATTTTTAAGGGTTGTCAAACTGAGAGTCTCACTATTTTACTGGCTTTTGGCTGGCTTTGCCAAGCGGGTCTTCCCAGCATGGATTCTTACTTAAAGCCCACAAAAGAGAGAATCCTTAGCAGAATGGCATTATGATCTTATGTAATATAATCATGTACACAAAATCATGTATATCCTGTAATCCTGCATTTTGTTGGTTAGAAGCAAGTCAAATGTTTTGCCCACACTGAAAGAGAGGGAATCATACAGGACATGAACACCAGAGGGTGGGGATCATGGAGGCCATTTAGAGTCTGTTTCACATACATAATTCAGTCCTGGTTATTTGACAGACATTTCCTTAAAACTGAACAAAGTGCACACTTAAAGGAAGACAACTGATAGCATTTCTTGCCAATTATAAAATTGAGCTTTCAAGCACAAATTAGAATTTTGGAAAACTTCTGTCTGCCACTATGATGTTGACAGCTTCCCAGTACTGAAAGACTTTTCTGCTTGGTGGTGCAATTAACAAATGCGATTTTTTCATATTTAATGAATTCTGTCAACATTTGGAAGATCAGCATAATCCAAAGAAACCAGTATTTTTGAAATAAACCAGTGCATGATGTTACAAAATCATGCAGGAATGAGATAGACCAATGAATTTTAACAAAGTACAGAAAGTCTAGTAATTAGGAATCAGATGCCACATTGCAGTAAACCTTTAAGAAAATACCAGCTGTTGAATTTTGATGTAGTATCAAAGAAGTACATCCATAGTTATCCTAAAGTGCTATTAAGATACTACTACTCCCTTTTTAAACTATATATCTTTATAAAGTCAAATTTTCTCTATATTTTTCAAATGAAATATGTCCTATCAGATTGAAAGCAGAAGTAGATATGAAACTGCAATGGTTTTTGATTAAGCTGAACACTAAAGAGATTTTCAAAAATGTAAAACAGTACCACTCTTATTCACTAATTTCTTTGTGTTTGCAAGATAGTCACTTTTCATAAAAATGTTATTTATGTTAATCTGTAATGGGTTTATTGTTACTTTAAATAAATAAATATTTTAAAAAATTTCTCTGTTTTAATTTCTAACATGGTGTAAATATCAACAGATAGAACCCAAATAAAAAAACACTCTTTTGGGTGCTCCATAACTTTTAAATGTGTAAAGGGGTCCTGAAACCAAGGAGTTAGAGTTCTAAAATAAAAAGTTACCCAAAATGTAAAGATTATTTGCTATTAATTGGAATTTAATTAACTTAATGGTTTTTTCATGCTTATTGTAAGCAATTTAGCATTGGCTTTAGAGAAATCATAAATTTTAATGAAAATTTTTGTTCTTTTGACAGTAATTCCCTATTGTGTACGATAGCACCTTTAAATTTTCTTGCAAATATTCAAGTTCAAAACTAGGATTGAATCCAAATATTTTTGTAGGAATAATCCATTTTTCCTATATTTCATATCATATTACTATTAGGCAATCTACAGATCTTTTAGCACTAAAAATTGATATTTTGGGGTGTTATTTTTCATTGAAGAGTTACTTTAATTGTAATTTATGTAACAAAAGGAAGGCTGTAGTATTTAAATCTATGGCTAAGTAAATTCAACTCCCACTTCTATTTTGAAGATGTTATATATCCTAAAATAAAAGAAATGTTTAGACAAATGTTTCTCTCTCCCTGAGTTGTTATTACTTGAGATAATTGCTATCTGAAATAATAAAAAATAGTGATATAAGCCCTGGACCAGTAGTTTAAAAAACTTAAATTGAAGTAAGAGAGTTAAGTTCTGATTCAGCCTTGTTAATAAGAATTCTTGAAACCTCTCTGAGCCTCGTTTCCTTCATTTCTAAAAAGAGAGCTTTTACCCAGACCACTGATTCTCAGTTTTGGATCCTAAGATTCTGCAGGTTATTCCTAGTATTTTAAAAGATGGGAAGCTACCTAAAATGTAAAGATTTTTTGCTATTAGTTGGAATCAAATTAACTCAGTGTACTTTTCATAAGTTGTGGCTTTTGCAGGAATGAAAACTGGAAAAGGGAACTTTACTGTTTAATTCAGCTTGATAAATAAAAATCTTTCCAGCATTGGACCCAGTGAGAAAAAAACAAAAACAACAAAGGGAAGGGTGGTGTCTTTGGTGTTAAAAGTTAGAAATAGAGCTTTCTCTAACTGATGTTTATTTCTCTGGGTATAGTTTCAGTCAAAACACCTCAACTGGTATTTTTTAATCTTGGTAAATTTTTAAAAGGAGAGGTTGTGCCAGTTGGTTTGGGTGGGTCCTGGGTGGCATATTGTAAAAAACTGTCCAAGTGATTCTACTGTGCAAAGTTAAGAATGACAGATATATTCTAGGATGAATTAAGATTCCTATTTAAGGGAATTTACTCTGAATTTTGAAGCCACTGCTTTTAATAAATTATAATTATAGTTTTTCATCTTATGTTGTGTGTATACACACAGTATATGTGTGTTTACTTTTTCATGGAATATCTCTATACTCCAACATCTCTTTCAGACCTCTTACAGATAGCAGGAATATATTATTATTACTTATAATAAAGTCAATGTGATCCAGTTCAAGGGTATAGCTTTGAGATCAGTCAGGTTCTGGGTTCTAATTACAGCTCCATCAATAACCACACCTAACCTTAGTTTACCTATTTATAAAATAGAGTATAAGGTTTTAATTAGTAATGTGACAACTATTTGATTTAATACACATATGTATCATGAAGTACAAGTACATTTAAAACACAATTGTGGCTATTATTTCAGTTTGAAAGGTGAATAACTTGAAGCTCAAAGGTGACTTGCCAAGGTATACAGTTAAATGTGCTGGTCTTCTGAATCCCAGTTTAGTGTTTATTCTACCCTTACTATTGTATTTGATGTCTTTCTGAACTTTTTATATTCTCCCCGCTGGAGAATTATTTTAACCAGTTATTGTTGAATAATATATGCCTGCTCTCTGAAATTGTGGAGCTTAATTAACCAGAGTTGTTTCCTAAAAAGTGTTTTAGAGTTATAACTTCGTATTTCTGTTAAAAATATAAAATATAAAAATAGAAGTGAATATTTTCCATTTTTAAGTGCAAATATTTGGAGATAATATTCTGAAATAAGGTTGTGCTAGGTTACACTGAAGTCATACAGCATTATTGATTTTTTATTTTACATGTTAAAGTTCAAGTGCAGATTTTGCCTTGGTAGTCCTCAAATTCTAGAAGTGTTTTGAGTTATTTCAATACCTGTTTCCATAACTTCCTTTTTGTTTAAACAACCATTTATTTACTTATTTATTTGATATTTTATTTATTATTCTGCAGTGTGTGCAGAGTGTGGTGAGGAAAGCTCATCTCTTTTTATTTTTTATTTTTCATTTTTAGCATTTTTTAAAAATATTTTTTATTTTTATTTTTTAAGAAAATTATATATATATATATATTTAAAGATTTTTTAATTTATTCATGAGAGACACAGAGAGAGAGAGAGGCAGAGACACAGGCAGAGGGAGAAGCAGGCTGCATGCAGGGAGCCCAGTGTGGGACTTGATCCTGGAACTCCAGGATCATGCCCTGGGCTGAAGGCAGGCGCTAAACCACTGAGCCACCCAGGGATCCACTCCTCTTTTTTTAAAATTTGAAAAATTTATTACTGAGGTATAATTGACATTGAACATTATGTTAATTTCAGGGGTACAAGATAATAATGATATTTTTATATATTGTAAAATGTTCGCTACAATCTAGTTAACATCTATCACCATCTGTAGTTACAGAATTTTTTTTTCTTGTGATGAGAAATTTTAAGATTACACTCCTAGCAACTTTCAAATATGTAATACATTATTCTATACATTCCCATGACTAATTTATTTCGTAATTGAAAGTTTATACCTTTTGACTCCATTCATTTTGTTTCCATAACTTAACAAATCGATGTCAATAGAAAAGTTAGTAGCAAACCAAAATTCTGAAAACTTAATTATCCCTCAGTTAATAAGCACAAACCAAATAAAACCTTTATGTTTCTATCTTTAATGTATTTTGGAAAGAGATTTAGAGGGAAAGGTACATACTATATTTTGATTTTCCCTACTCCCTGCAGACATAGTATAGGATATATAAGTCAGGAACATACTATGTATACCAATTTGTATTTGTCTTTTCTGTCTGAACAATCTACTGGGTTTATGTCATTGGATATTTCTCAAAAACAGTAGTAGTGGTTGCATGCTAGTCTATTATAATTTATTTAACCATTCTTTTGTTAGACATAGAGGTTTTAATTTTTTGTTATTAAAAATAATTCATATTAAACACTTCATTTCTTTATTATAAACTTTTAAAGTGGAATGATTGGACCAAAGGATATGAACTTCTTTAAAGCCTTTGATAGCCGCTGCCAACATTTTCATGCATAAAAGTTATACCAAAATATAACCTCTCTACTTTGCCAATAGTAAACGTTATCATTACTTTTTAATTTTTATTTCAAGCTTACTTTAGACTTACCAAAAAAATAATACAAAGAGTTCTCATGTATGCCTAACCTAGTTTCCCCTAATGCTAACATCTTATGTATCCTAATCAGGTAATTAACATTAAGTAAACCTCAAGCCTTTATCAAACTTTACCAGTTTTTCCATTACCGTCTTTTTTTATGCCCAGGATCCCATCAGAATCACACTTTGCTGGCAGTTTTTTCTTCTTAGTCTCATTTTTCTATAGTTACTCTTTTTCTTTCATGACTTGAATACTTTTAAGAGGAGTGGCCAGTTAATTTTGTATTACGTATTACGATCTTTAAAACCATGCAAATTCAGTAGTTAAAAATTGCCATTGTGTTTATTTGCATTTCTTTGACTATTATGTTTGAAAAAAGTTTTTTTGTACATGTTGATAATTTGTTTTTTGCTTTTGAAGTGTCTCAGTTTATATCCTTTGCCCATTTTTCTCTTAAAGCGACTTTTTAAACCCTTTTGATTTTTCAGCATTGTTAATTCTAAAACTTTTGCTTGTTGTATATTATGATGTACAAAATGGTCTACAATTCACTCAGTGCTTACTCTACAATGATGGTCTTTTAAAAATAGCATTAAGTGTATTTTTTTGAGTGTGTCTGTCAGTAAATTTAATATATAATAGTATTGGAGTATATATCCCTAAAATGATCATACTTTTTGTAATTATATTAAATATCTATGTGTGGTAACATAAATTCATACTACCTACTTCTTGACCACATTATCATTCATTTCATACTTTTCACTCCTCTCTTCTTGAGATCATCCTACTAGCTGGGACTATCTTTTCTCCTGATGGAAAGGCTAAAACTTCCCTTAAGCCCTAATGCTTCCAAGAGTATAGCAGCTGTCTCAGATTATTCATATAAATAGCTTCAATTCTAACCCCTGTTTACCTGACTTTCATATTTGGGTTTCCCCTGTTGGCCATGCAGCTTTCATATTTGCCCTATGAGATGAGACATTACTCCAGTCTTGCATAGCTTTCTGTGGAATAGCAGGAAGAGTGGAGAGGAGGACCCCTTCTTTCTTTTCCTGACCCTTGCCTTATAAATTTTTCCAATAAAGATGATTCTAAAACTCAAACCATATGCTACATTCATCCCGAATCCTGATACACAGTACTGCAGATTGATTCCTAATTTCTTTTCCCTGATATTTCATCTGTGGTGTTAAAGAGATTCAGAAGCTTTTAAGTTTATGTCAGTATGTTTTCCTATTTTTTTCCTTTTACCCAAAGATTTTGCTAAATTTTACAGTTTGCTCTTTGATGGGAATACTCCATTTTAGTAGCCTTCTAAAGTGTATCAATCTTGCTCATTTTAAATAGCTATACATGGGGCAGCCCGGGTGGCTCTGCGGATTAGCACTGCCTTCAGCCCAGGGCGTGATCTTGGAGACCTGGGATCGAGTCCTGTGTCGGGCTCCCTGCATGGGGCCTGCTTTGTCTCTGCCTGTGTCTCTGCCTCTCTCTCTCTCTCTGTGTGTCTCTCATAAATAAATAAATAAATAAATAAATAAATAAATAAATAAATAAATAAAATCTTTAAAAATCAAGTTGGGTAAAAAAATAGGCATATATGTTTCTTTTATCTTAAAAAAAAAAAAAAAACAACACTGGAATTTGCCCTGTTTTAATTGGCTAGTTTTACCTAAGTAAGTAAGAGCTGTAAGTAAGGGCTTGCTTTCAGTTTTAGTAGATAATTTTAACAGATAGTAATAATTACCTCTGCGTTTTATAACTTATTAATTACTGAGTCATCAAAAGCTGTTCTTATAATATTGACATACACTGGGGATCCCTGGGTGGCGCAGCGGTTTGGCGCCTGCCTTTGGCCCAGGGCGTGATCCTGGAGACCCGGGATCGAATCCCACATCGGGCTCCCAGTGCATGGAGCCTGCTTCTCTCTCTGCTTCTCTCTCTCTCTCTCTCTCTCTCTCTCTCTGTGTTACTATCATAAATTAAAAAAAAATTAAAAAAAATTGACATACACTTATATTTACCTTTATAAAAGTTTATGAAACAAAATAATTGTCACTATATTGAGTAAATGTAATATTCTTCCTTTGAAATATTTTAACAGGGTTATGTAACAAACTCCTCGCGAGTTGTGTCTAATAATTCTTCAGAGTTACTGTTTGACTTGACCCAGGATACAGGATCATCACATTACCAAGGAGGACCAACACTTTCTATACCAGGTTGGTTTTAGCACTTTTAAAAAAAACTGTAAGAAGAAACTTAATAAATATATATATATGGAATTGACTTTCTGTTTTCAAGTTCATGCCTTCATGTTAAGTTTTCATATATTGTACAGTGGAATGGTGTTAATAGTTCTTAAATGCCTTTCTTGGGTGATTTTTTTTCTCGGGTGATTTTTAAATAAAATCTTATTTAATAATGAGATGGACATTAAGGAGGGCACATGATGTAATTAGCACTGGCTATTACATAAGATTTATGAATCTCTGAACTCTGTCCCTGAAACTAAAATTCTCTCCATATTAATTAATTGAATTTAAGTTAAAAAATATGTATTTAAAAAAAACAAAAAGATGTTTTATTTTTTCTTGCTAACCAGCTTTGAGTTTGTTCTCAATTGGAACTAAAAATGTGCTGAAAAATCTTAAATAATTTCTCTAAGTTATAGAAATCTTTGATATCCTACATCTGTTAAAAACAGTATTAATTCATTTCTATAACTAATGTGAAAAAGTATATGGTTACAATTGATTTCCTAATTAGAATAGTGTACATTCAGTAAAGGCTTTAGATATTGTAGTTATGTATGACAATAGAGTGCTTTCATAAAGTGGCACAATAAGTTTGTATATAGCCAACATTCAGTAAATGCCCATTGGAGGAATATGAAATTTCCTTGTTAGAGTTAAAGTTCTTTGTATACTGAAACATAGTTCTTCATTAGCCATGCTATGAAAGAATTTCATCTAACTGAAAATTCCCAGTAATCGAGGTAATTATGGTTTGTATATTTGCTGTTTTCGTATATTTTAAATATTTGACAAAAGAAATAAACAAGATTTTGGGGGGACTTTTTAGATTATTTACTAACAAATCAGTGTGGAGAATCTACCAAACCCTCCTCTGATTCTTTATTGTAATATTAGTGCATAAATCATTTTCCATTTAGATAACAATTAGTTGATGTTCACTTCTTTGGGTGTCACTTACATACTTATAAAAATCTAGTTAGTAAAATAGGTAAGAAACAAGGGCAATGATTGTTGTCTTAAGGTTGGTTTTACTAAACAGAAGGACTTCGTTAATAGAAAAAGTCTGAATTTTTGAAACTTCTTGTGAGTAGGAGCAATGACTCCTGATCTACCTCCCAAGTTTTCTGCTGCAGAGAGAAACATTAGCCTGAGCAGCAAGTAGGATGAGAAGACACAGATTTGAACTGCTATTAAGATTTTTGTAGTCTTCATCAAGTCTTTACACTTTAGTCTTCTTATATTATTAAAAGGAGATTTTATTTTTCTTATTAATGCATTCATACTCCAGACCTGGAGTCAGCCATTGGGAGATAAAATTTTAATTCTCGCTCCACTTTAGTCAGGGCTTTCTGAGGCACAAATAAGATAAAATGTGAAAATGCATTATGAACTTTAAAGGACTTGACAGCAGTTGGTATGATTGATAATATGTGCTTTATAGTCAATAGCATTAACTGACCACTATCCAATGGTCACAAATATTTGAAGAAGACTGGATTTAAGCTTGTTCTCAAAAGGATTTTTACTGATAGAAAGCTGTTCAGTGTAGAAAACAATACAAACCAAAGATGACATGGATAAATAAAGGGTCAGAATTTAAAACTCTTAAATGGGGGTGCCTGAGTGGATTACCAAGTGGCTCAGTAGGTTAAGCATCTGCCTTGGGCTCAGGTTGTGACTCCAAGGTGCTGGGAACAAGCCCTGTATTGGGCTCCCTGCTCAGTGGGGAGTCTGCTTCTCTCTCTCCCTCAGCCCCTCCCCCCAGTTGTGTGCACGTGCTCTCTCTGTTCTCTCAAATCAATAAATAAAATCTTTAAAAATAAGTAAATTAAACTCTTAAATGCAGAGTGATTTTATTTCTTATGTTAAAAAGTTCTTATAGTATGAAACTGTTTCTACTGTCCAGCCTATTATATGCAAATGCTTAATCAAAATACCAGCATTCATTGGTTTTTCAAGTAACTTAAGCATCTCACAAGAATGCTACTGTGATTACACAAATCTTTTCCAAGTACCAATATCAATAATCGTGTCTTGGGGATCCCTGGGTGGCTCAGTGGTTTAGTGCCTGCCTTCAGCCTAGGGTGTGATCCTGGAAACCCAGGATCAAGTCCCACATCAGGCTGCCTGCATGGAGCCTGCTTCTCCCTCTGCCTGTTTCTCTCTCTCTCTCTCTCTCTCTCATGAATAAATAAATAAAATCTTTAAAAAAAATCATATGTCTCGAAGATGGGGAAAAAATCATTTTTATGTTATTTCACAGGATGAACTAATATAACACTCTATTTGGCATGTTTCCCCATACTAAAAAGCTGATGGGTGAATCTATTAGAATAATTTTTTTCCTCTAAAGTAGGTTAAGATATAAAATATTTTGTTAGTAATGATAATAGCTGTCATTTATTGTTGAATGCTTTCTATGTGCCAGGTGTTGTGTGGGTGCTTTTTAAAAGTAAGTTAAGATACAAAATATTTTTTTAGTAATGATAATGGTTGTCATTTTTTTTTGGTTGTCATTTTTTACTAAATACTTTCTATGTGTCAAATATCGTGTTGAATGCTTTAAATATATTATCTTATTTGATCTTAAAACAGCTTTGTGAAATAAGGCATTATAACGTATTTTACAAAAGAGGAAACTGAGGCTCAGAGAACTTAATTAAATAAGCCAAGAATACATAGCTAGACAGTGACAGAACTTGGATTTCAACTTCTACTGTCTGGTTTAAAAGCCTGAAATATTTCTTTTTTTTTTTTTTAAAGATTTTTTTTTAATTTATTTATTCATGAGAGAGAGATAGAGAGAGAGAGGGAGGGAGAGGGAGAGGCAGAGACAGAAGCAGGCTCCATGCTGGGAGCCCGATGTGGGACTCGATCCCGGGACCCCAGGATCATGCCCTGGGCCAAAGGCAGGCGCTGAACCGCTGAGCCACCCAGGGATCCCTAAAAGCCTGAAATATTTCTAATATATTTACTTTGTTGCTTCTATTTTTCATGTATAGTTGAGAAAATTAAAATATGGTGTGCAGTTTTAGGATTCTTATTACCAAGTACAGTTGTGTGTTGTCTTCAAAAAGAACTTTTGCCTGACCTGGGTATAGCCTAAATATTCCTATTTCTCTTGCTAATGCTCTAACTAGGACTAAAATTGTTTAGTTTAAAAGTGTTGGTTTTCAAACTAAAAATTGTTTTTAGGAATAAAATTCCCATGCAAATAAAATTTCATTCAAAATGGTAATAAATAAAATATAAAAGAGTTCCTCTGTCAGAGATAACTAATATATTCCCTAAAATGAGCCCATTAGGCTCCAGGAACATAATTTGGAAACTATTGTACTAACGCCTTCCATTATGAGCCCTTTCATGTGAGTGAATAACGTATTATCATTCAAAATTAGTTTTTCTGCTTTGTACTTTCCATTTTTGTAGTTTTTCCACTTTGAATAAACAGATAATATAACCTAAAGCCATGAGTAGACCACCTCTTTATTAGGTGGAAAAAAACCTAACTTTCCATTAGACATTAAAAAAAAAAATAAAAAGGTTTTAATGGGTCTTTCTAAATTTTTAGAATAAAATAAAATTTCTTTTGTAAACTAGCTCCAGTGCACTTAAAACATTGAAAAGTGATTCATTGGTAGAAACTTAGTTTGGAGTGTTCTCTATGCTTTAATTTTTTCTTTTCTTTTTTACTTGGGATATTTTGATCTGGCTTCTTTCATATTGCTGTTTATATATTCCTTTATTTGAAGCCATATTTAGTACTTTCTTGCATAGAAGATTATTTTACAAATTATTTGAATATGTATATAGTCCATAATAGATGTTTATATAATTTTTTACAACCCTGACTTTTAAAAAATTATTTCTTAATAATTAAATTAATATTTATTATCCTCAAGTTTTTATTTAAATTCCAGTTAGTTAACATACAGTATAATATTAATTTCAGGTGTAGAATTTAGTGATTCAGCACTTACATACAACACTTGGTGCTCTTCACAAGTGTGCTCCTTAATCCACATCATCTAACCCACTCCCCCCCACCCCCCACATACCTCCCTTCTGCTAACCATCAGTTTGTTCTCTCTCCTTAAGTGTCTCTTTCTTGGTTTGCCTCACTTTCTTTTTCTCCCCTACGTTCATTTGTTTTGTTTCTTAAGTTCCACATATGAGTGAAATCATGTGCTATTCATCTTTATTTGATAGACTTATTTCACTTAGCGCAATACTCTCTCATTCCGTCCTTGTCATTGCAAATAGCAAGATTTCATTCTTTTTTTTATGTCTGAGTAATATTCCATTATACAGATATACTACTACTTCTTTATCCACTCATCAGTCGGTGGGCATTTGGGATCTTTCCATAATTTGGAAATTTGTGCATCTATTGTTGACAATGCTGCTGTAAATGTCGGGGTACATGCATCCCTTTGAATCAGTATTTTTATATCCTTTGGGTAAACACCTAGTAATGCAATTTCTGGATGGTAGGGTAGTTCTATTTATAACTTTTTGAGAAACCTTCATACTGTTTTCCAGAGTAGTTGTACCAGTTTTCATTCCCACCAACAGTGTAAGAAGGTTCCCCTGACTCTCTATCCTTGCCAACACCTGTTGTTTCCTGTGGTGTTAATTTTAGCCATTCTGACTGGTTAAGGTGATATCTCATTGTAGTTTTGATTTGTATTTCCCTGATGATCAGTGATGTTGAGCATCTTTTCATGTGTCTGTTAGCTATCTATGTTTGCTTTGGAAAAATGTCCATTCATGTCTTCTATATTTGAAATGGATTATTTGTGTTTTGGGTGTTGAGTTTTATAAGTTACTTTATAGATTTTGGATATTAACCCTGTTTGAATGTCATTTGCAAATATCTTCTCCCATTCCAAAGGTTGTCTTTTAGTTTTGTTGATTGTTTCTTTGCCATGCAGAAGCCTTTTATTTTGATGAACTCCCAATAG